AACCTTAAGAATTAATATATACTCTGGACATTTCCTTCGACATCAAGATAGCGAAATCCATGAAGCGACAGTAAAAATTGATAACAAATATTTAAAAATTGTGTATTTGTGCAGAAATCCATATTTTATGCAAGTTTCGTTGAAAACGATAGATAAGGTGCTGTGGTTATTTTTCATACAGTGTACGTGAATGTTCGTATATTTTTTCTTTTCAGAAAATAAATTATATAAAATTTGTCCGAAGGCTAACAATAATGGAAGCATTATTAATGAAAAATAAAAAAGCCCAAACTAAATAATATCAATTATGAAGATGGACACAATGTTCTGAGTGTGTTTGGAAAATAAAACCTATAACACTATATAACATATATAAAACAATCCTTATATTCAGTTAAAGATGAAATAAAATTCATCCTTGATAATAGTTAAAAGTATTAGCCGAAAGCGCTTGGAAAACATTTGTACAATTTTATTTAATTTATCTCCTAAAAAGAAAATGAACACAAGACAAATTATATAAAAAAAACTTGACCCCAAAATCTTGTCAGTCATTTTCAACAAAAATCAGTCTATGTTCAATTTAGAAGAAGAAAACGAAAATTTTATCGAATGAAACAGTTTTTAGCCTCGAGGACGGTTTTCGGAAGCGCTTCTATGACAGGATCATTTAAATGTTGTCTATCACTTCCACGATGTCTGCTTTTAATATTCCTTTCGCATTTTGGGGCCGCTTGGTAGTCTATAAGTCCTCCCATATTAGTCCAAGAGACCTTGAAGGCTATATCAGAGGAATGAAGGTGACATCATCGTCAAATACTTGGCCACCTAATCTTGGATCACTGAATCCTGCTGAAATATATAAAATCTAACTCTCGTTCCACGGGTTTATAACCGTATCTAGCAAATCTTTGTCGACTTTGACATCGGCACAGAGACAATGTAAGGGTTTAGCATATGATATTCGTTCCTCGTGATCACCAGAAACATCGCAAATGATGTAAAATTTGCCTGCTTCATTGTGAGTAACCCCGTGTGGTCGACGAAGATCCACCTGCGTCCCTTTTAATTTTATGTGTCACACTGGAAGCTGGCATAATGGTTGCGCAAATATTTTGAATGCTGTGTAAAGTGACATCACTTACTCTTCGTATATGGCATGCTAAATATGACACATATGTGGCACATACTCTCAAATACACACAGATATATATATATATATATATATATATATATATATATATAATTCTGAATAAATTAACTGGTATAGAATTAATGAAAGCACATTATCGTAAATATCCCTTAATGTTATGATAATGTCCACGTTGACATCTCTCAGTAATTGTGTTCTGCACATCTCTTATTCTTAATCACCTACAAAAACAGAGAAAAAGAAATACGTCATCGTCTCTATCTTTCTGCACTCTCTTTCGCTCTTATTCTCTCTCTTTGTACACCTGCTATATATATATATATATATATATATATATATATATATATATATATATATATGTGTGTGTAGTTGTATGTGTGTTGGTGTGTGTGTGTGTTTGTGCATGTGTACGAAGTTGTGCTGAAAGTGTATCAGCCAGACCCATTTCTTAAACCTGTCCACATGCGTACACTCCTTTTTAAATCCCTTTAGATATATGAAAATTGAACAATAGATCTGTAAGCCCGTAGTGTGATTTAGAGTTTAGTTGGATTCTATCTGATATTTTCATTTTGAATTGTTTGAAGTTTGCGATTAATCCAAGATTTGCGTCTAGTGCATAGACAAGGAAGAAGTTTTTCAATAGAAAAAATATTTCGTGAGTAGAATAAATGCTTTTCATCATTAGGTCGTGAAATTGTTGATTTAGTATATATATATATATATATATATATATATATATATATATATATATATATATATATGATTATTTAAAAAATATGATTCCAAATTGCGGCATAAGAAATCCCATGTTTCAAAACAAGAGCCGAAAACTTTAATATAATTATTTAAATTAAATTGAGTTAAAATAAGCTCTGTTCCATCTTCAAGCGAAATTTTTTTGAATAACGCGTTTCTGAAATTTACGTGTTTTAAAATTGAAATCAAAATTTCCATGGTAACAGCTAGGGCGAATTTTTTAAGTTGGGTAGGCGGGTGATGGGTGTTAATAATAAGTATCAGTATAGAGTTACTTTCGTAGATGTCAAGCCAGGGAAAGGTGGGGGTGTCTAAATTTGAAACGGAAGATGTATTAACCCTCGTCTAGTTTGCATGTCTATGGAGATTTATTTATTTTATTTTTATGAAATGGATTTGTGCATATAAAAAAAAAAACTGTCGTAACGTTTGTTTTTGACGACTTCATAAAGGGTTATTTTTTTTTATAGTATTTAAACTATTTATTTGGGCTATGGATTATGAAGTGTGTTATATTGTATGCATGTTTTAGTTAATTGTATGCTAGTTTTAGCTAATAATTCAAAAATATATATATATATATATATATATATATATATATATATATATATATATATATATATATATATATATGTGTGTGTGTGTGTGTGTGTGTGTGTGTGTGTGTGTGTGTGTGTGTGTGTGTGTGTGTACTTTTTTCTATATTTATATCGTTGCCTTTAAATGTTAAGCGTGTGTAAAAGAATCCGTATATAACGCCCAAAGAATTGTTTTTATTTTTACATCTATGGAATATAAATTTGCATTCATACATATGGATGCTATACCCTTTCAAGTGAGATATGTAAATGTGTATAAATATATGCTCATAACTCCTTCTCTAAGGTTTTTCTTTTCCGATATGTTCTGTTTTGCGGTTCCTTTTTATATAGACTATTGGATCGAAGAATTTGCCAGGAAAACTGATATTTACTTGCAAGAATATTCGCTGGATCAAAGGAACGTTGTAGAAAAATGCGAAGATCATGATGATAAGGAAACTGGTTGCGGGTCTGGATGGGCATCCTCTGAGAGTGAAAGAGAAGAGGAGTATAAAAAAAAAGCAAGAGAGGTATATGAAATGATATTACAAGAAAACGAAAAGAATAGTAGAAAGAAACGTATCTAAGCTAAATTATAGAGCTTCAGAAAGGAGAGAAGGAATGCCTGAAGTGAAAATAGAAACAAAGAAATCCAATGTGGGGAGAAAAGCTTAAATATGAAAAAGAAAATGGGGAATCTTCAGTGGCAGTATTAAAGAAGAAAATGGTAGTAAAATGATAAATTCACAAATAAATACAGTCAAGAAAGAAAAAAAGAAAGAAAGAAAGAAAGAACATAAATTGTATTTAAAAAGAAGAAAACGGTTAAAGAATGAAAATGAGAAAAAGAGCAAGTCAAATGAAAAGTAAATGATAAAGTGAATATGAAATAAGAAATGCATGGATAAAATACACGGTTGCAAAATAACGTTTATATTTGTCTGTATAAGTAAGTGAAAAAAAACAAAAAAACAAACCAGACAGCCGTCAAAGGATATTAAAAGAAGAGGTCGGATAAAGTGTGTTGGGGAGAAAAAAAGCTTGAAATATCTTTTAAACAGAGAAGTAATATGTTTCTTGTGGAGAAAGTGATAACAATTGAAAAAAGTGGGAATATATGACAGAGAGAAAGAGAGAAGAGAGAGACAGGTGAGAGAAGGTGGAGAAGGGGAGAGAGAGAAAAGGAGAGAGAGAAGGAGAGAAAAAAGGGGAGAGAGAGAAGGGAAGAGAGAAGAGGGAAAGAGGGAGTGGTGATTGAGATGAAATATATAGAGAGATATAGAATGCAATTGTTGGAAATTAAAATATTTGAATGAATGTAGTGAAATGCAAAAATAAATGGACGAAAGAAGATAAAGACAAGAAATTGGGTAAAAAACATAGGTAAGAATAATCTAAAAGAACATTTAAAATGTCTACAATTATGTAATTCACAATTTAAAATATAAATTTAGAATACAATTTTAGAAAATGTTCAGTAATATTTTTATTCATTTTAAAAAGATGACAACATGTGAGGACTAATTGTAACGATGACCCTATCATATACGTCTAAGGACTTACTTTCTTATGATTTCACGCATCGTGTCATAAGAGATTAACTTTGTATTAAAAATATATTAGACGTTGAGGGTGATTGCGCCGGTGGCGACGGCGGTAGTTTTTAATTAGAAGTAAACAGAGCACTTGCAATATCTGGCCAAATAAGAATAATATGGCGCATGCGCTATCAGTTACTTTCAAAGAATAAAAATGTTCTAATTTCATCGAGTACGAAGGATAATTGAAGGAAGAGAAAAATGTATTTAGAGAATTAAAACAATCGAGAAAGAAGTGGAAGCTTTACGTTAAAAAGAAATTAAACGAGAATAAAAAGAAGCTCAGTAATTAGCAAAAGGATTACTTTAAAATATGGGGGGAGAGAGAGAGAAAGAGAAAGTTGCAAAGAGAAAAGAGGAATAAAATGTACTGAAGAAATTTTTAATAATAATGTTCAAACAATGCAAGGGTCAAGACACACTTAAGGTAGAGGGTGACTGTGAAAATGGTTATGATGAATGATGTGTGGGAGGAAGTGAAGATTATGAGGATAAAGAGGATAGATAACGATTGACCATTGACAGGAAGAGAATAACATTATCGTATCCAGGTGAGCATCTATCCGGAACTTTGTTCCACAAAGTAGTTGTCAGGAAAAAAGCTGTCTGATTGGAATTGTGCCATATATTTGGAATACGGAGGCAATAATGATGATTCGATTCCATGGAAGTAGCGTGGAGTGTCCTAGATGTAAATGCATGAACTGGTGTATGAATGGCGTTCACCTGAACATTTTCATGGAAATAGCGATGCAGAATCCCTAGGTAAGAATGCGGCAAAGTGTAGAATGAATGTCAGAGAAAAGATTATGAGAGTGAATTTAAAAGCTTACTAGTTATGAGCAAAATAGAAGGGTGTAGTGTAACACTAAATAAAAGATAATCCGAAAGTTGTAAGCAAGAAGAGAATTAGGCGTATAATTGCATAAGAGAGAATTTAATTGAATGTAAAGAAAAGCTGGAAGAGAGATGAAGAAATATAGAAAAGAGAGAATGCAAGAAAGAACATAAAAATGAAGAGGTCGCAAAATGATGAAGAGTATAATAAGAGATGTAATAAGAAAAGACAATGAAGAGATGCCGTGATAATGAAGGAGAAAAGGAAAATGGATGAAAGAAAACTAAGACATAAAAGACAAAGAGGATTTTAGCTAGGAGAAATGGCTATTAGGCGAAATGAAATATTTCGTCACTGACATCACGTACACAAAGGAATGAATAAAAATAGAAGATCAAAGTGTAAGAAAATGGTGGTCAAAAATGGTATTGAGCTTGAAGTGGGAAGGAATGAAAAGGTAAAAGTGTTAGAAAGAAAGGGAGAACAGAGAGCGTATCGGGAAAAAGTCTTAAGATCGAGAACAGCAGATCAAGGAGGAAAGTGCGTAAGAAAGCTCGCAGGCGAATGGTTGTGGTAATAGATGTGCGAATATGGTAAAGGAGATCGGATGTAGAATGAAAAAGGATTTTTTTTTGTATAATAGAAGGAATAAAAAGAAACGAAGACAAGAAACAAGTAAATATCTACGAAAAAAATGAAATAAATAAGGGAAACGAGAAAGAAAATTACCGGGAAAAGGCTTTGTTCAATGGCGATAGCAAGAAGAAATTGCGAAAAAGAATAAATAAAATAAAAATAACACAGACTTTTCGCATATTTTAACAGCGGCATCTTTCTACATTTAGATTAACAATGGGACGGACAGCAAAGGGCCAACAACAGACGATGCAAAACCCCCCTCTCTCTTTCCATTTCTATATTTTCTTATCGACTTCTTTTTATGTATTTTCTGTCTACATATCTCCACACTTCTTATTTCGTCTGTATTATTTTTTTTTCCTTTATTTCATTGCATTCTTTGCTGCTCTCATTCTGGATCGAGTTTGCCATTAACGTTCGATCGGAGGGAATCTCTCTTTTCCAGTTGGTTTCCGACGCCATCTTGACTAAACGTTACCGCTAATTCTATCTGCTATCAGTCTCACTTTCATATAACCACAACAATCATAATGTATGCAACATGGTTACCTTTTTTAGCAACTAATCAGCCAAGGAGAACATAAGAAATGTGCCAGGTCATACTTTTTGACCGAAATGAACATAGTTGCATGTTAGAGAAAATTTCATTTATTATGAATGCCTTCCAAAGCAACAACAAAAAAAATGCAGTGATAATCCAAACATAAATCTAGTTTTTGTTCCACGTAACCTAAGGGATGAATTAGACACTAATCACTACATTTTCTTTTGTTGCCTTATGTGCCAGATGATCTTATAATATCTCGCAACTGAAAAGAAGTCAAGATGACTAAACAACAGAACAGGTAGCAAAGTGAGTGACGGTTAAATTTCGACAGTCACTTCGCGTTTATAAGTCATTAATAGGAAAATCAGGTATTATTGTTATAACTATGGTCCTTAGGCCCTATAGGAGAATTTCCATTTAATTGATAGCACGTTTCTGAGTATATGGAATGTTCCTAGTCAGGCGATCTTCTGGGAAACATGTACGTTAATATTACCTGGGACACTGTTAGTAAAATTTTCCATTCCTTTTCTCATGAGGCCTAGACGTCCAATTACTATTGTTAGTCTCAGTCTTCATTCCCCACATCCTGTTACTCTCGATTTTCAGGTCCTTGTATTTGGACAATTTCTCGATAATTTTAATAGGGGTGTTTCCCTCAGATGGTACTGCTATGTCAATAAGCATACATTTCTTGAATCTGTTGTCTTTTATGATAATATCAGGTCGTTGACTTTTATCTCCGTCAGTTGGAATTTGCATGTCCCAGAGGATAGTTATATCGTTATTTTGGGTAACTATGTCTCGCAGTGGTTTCGATTTTGTGCTTCTTTCATATCTCCCAGTGCACATATGTCGCTACATTGTTATGTATGTGGGTATATACATTTTTGCTAGTTCCGGACATCTTTAGATAGTATGGTCAACCGTTTCATCGTATATTCCGCAGATCCTGCATTTAAGGTTAGTTCAACTCTTTATTATGTGTCCTGGTTGCGAGGGGTTGGTTCTAAGCTGTAATAATTAGTACATCTGTCTTCTTTCAACCCGGAGCTTCTCAGACCCTGATGTATTTTCTGTTGATCCACATCGGCTTCTTTTGTTCTTTTTATTTATTTGCAATACAACGCCTTGATCTCCCAGTTTTTTGCAATTTCATATGACCAAGTTGTTTTGCTTTCTGTTTGACTCATTTGGCGTAGATGTTATTCGCTTCCATATTTGTTGATAGGTTTTCAGGTACATTAAGCTGGTCTTGAAGAGTTCAGATTCTTTCTGGATGGAGCGGATTTGGTGTTTTACTATTTGTAGGAGAGGGTCATTGGTTTTTGTGAGGCACACTTCCAATCCGATTGTTGAAGTTGATATATCAACATCTGATTTCCAGTGGTGCATCCTCATTTGGGTAAGAATTCTTGGCGACAATCATTTAAAGTCATTCAACTTCCATTTAATAATGTTGAAGCTATATGTTACTATGGGTATAGCTAAGGTGTTGATAGCCTTCATTTTATTGGCCCCAGTAAGTTCGCTTCCTCGTATCAAACGCACTCTCCTATAATATTATTTTCGGATATTTTTCTTCATAATTGAATGTTTATTTCGTCTCCATCATTAATTACTAAGTATTTGTATGCATCATATTGGTCTAGTTTCTTTGAAGGTGGCTTTGACATATATGTAAATTCCAAATTCCATCCTAATATCTTCGCTTTGACAATGGTAAATTCTGCTGGTTGTCATCCATGGCAAACGTTTTGAGATCATCAATATGATTCAGTTTACCATTCTGTGACTTGTATCAATAGCTACTGTTGTTCAGTAACCAGCTGAGTGGCAGAAGATAGCGGTGACATTGAATCTCATTGGAAGATCCAACTTTTGATGTTGATTAGTCTCGATATTAATGACCCGTTTGTATAGTTTAGGTTTGTGTAGTCCACCAGTTCTCTGTGCTTTCCGTTATAAATTTGATCGTTGTGAAACATACTGTGTATATTTTCAGGTACTTTTCTATCCATTATTATTGTTTTTATTTCCTTTGACTTCTGGCGTTTACACATTTCTTTCCGGGTCCCGCCCAGAGACCTAAGGTTAGAAATGGCATCATGATACTTTCCACTGACAAAAAAAAGAAAAGATTTTACATAGAAAAAGCCCATCGTAAAGTGTGCGCTGTACTTGTGAGAACAATTTTTTGTATTTCTTTAAGGCATGGTTATCTTGGAATCCCTTCAATTAGTTTACTGGAATCTTTTCCAACCAATCCTAGGGCTCCAACTACAACAGGGATTGTTGATGTTCCCATGTGCCAAATTTTTGAGATTTCTATTTCAAGGTCCTTGTATTTTGACAGCTTTTTGAATATCTTCAAAGATACATTGCAGTCTACAGGGACTGCCATATCAATAAGGAGGTAATTTTTTGTTTGTGCTCTTTAATAACAATGTCTGGGCGGTTGTCTTTGATTTTTCTGTCAGTGTGTATTGTGTAGTCACATAGAATTGTAACAGGTCACCGTAACCGGGTCTGGGTGGTGTTCATACCAGTTTCTTTCAGTTTCCTTCCCGTAGGAGTTGCAAATTTTCCAGTGCAGATATTGGCCCACACTGTCGTGTTTTATACTCAGTGGGTGCCAATATCAAGCAACCTGATAGAAATGATCAATTGTTTCTGGATATTTAGTACAGAATCTGCATTTTGGGATAACACAATATTTTAGTATATGTGCTTGATAATTTCGAGTTAACAAGCATTGGTTCTGTGCAGCAAGGATAAAACCTTCAGTTTCAGCTTTCAACCCTGCACTACGTAGCCACTGATAGCTACAGGTTTTGTCTACGTCAGCTTGTTTGGTACAGGCAGAGTATTGGCCATAAAGCGGTTTATCTTGTCATTTTTTTTCTGTATCTGGTCGGTTGCATTTGTCTTTGCTCTCTTTTTAAGTATTTTGCAGCTTCAGCCGGTTTATTGTGCGTTACTTGTATTTCTGCGCCCATTTGAAACTCCATTTTGAATTTGTTGGCTTACTTTATTAGGGAGTAAAGATGCTTACTACTTTTCATGTTGTTTTACCATCATCCAGTCTTCTGTAGTTTCCAAGTATCTTTGAAGTTTCTGCTTCAGAATTTCCTTGCTTGATGGAATGTCAATTAAGGATTTAATTTTATATTTCCGCTTGATCTTTTTGCACTTGCGTGTGAAAATATTTGGGTTTCTGGTGTGGTCATCTAATATAGAAAACTCACATCTGATTTCTTTTATTTCTCGTATCAGTTTTGCCTTCCAAGCTGGCTCTCCATGTCTGATTTCTAATTTTAGTTATTGTCTTGACCCCAAGCTTCCGAGTCGCTGCTAAAGCTGTTGCGTATATGACGTTGTTAACTTCTGTGATGTTTCCCGGTGGTTTATCTGTTAACAGTGTTTCCAGAGCAGCGTTGTATATTTTCACAATGTTGCTTGTTGGAATTCGTCATCCTATGGATTTTGGGGAACTGGTCTCTGTCTGACAATTGTATGAAAGTTACTCTGCTGAGTACTTGGATTATTATTATTATTATTATTATTATTATTATTATTATTTCGCTTGTTCACATAAGATTTCTTGTGGTTATGGTTGGAGACTGAATGAAAAAATTTTCTCAGTTCCCCGGCACATTTCTCAGTATCCTCTTAGATAAGTGTGAATCAGTGCCACACTTTCACGAATTTAATTCAGCCATTCACGTTTTATTTTTCCTCGTTTCATGTGCTGCAGATATTATAATCATGTTATTTCACGTTTTTTTGATTAATTTCTCGATCAAATTCCCAATAAATATTTTCGTTTTCACACGGAGGTTTGTTGGTTCAAGCGTGTCTTACTTGAAAGCACATTCTGTTTGTTTTTTGTTTACAACTACCTATTTTGCTGTTGTTGCATGACATTATTATTATTATTATTATTATTATTATTATTATTATTATTAGTTTCCACTCTATTCCTCAGAGTTTCCACTTGAGATGTTTCAGCAATCTTCAAGCATTGTCATCAATATTCTTATTTTAATAAGACTGTTTTATTGATAGAATTTCGATAAGAAACGAAACAGTACCAGACATAGTTTTGACATAGTTACAAGCACTCCAATAACTATGAGGATAATGTTAAATTTCACGATTCACATATTTTCACTTTTATTATGAGGTCAAGGTTTAACTTTCCAATTACCGTTAATTTTACTCTATATTCAAATGGAATAGATATGCACTATCTGGAAAAGATTCTTCCATGTTTTTCAGAAAAAAATGAGCTGGTTTTCTTGCTTAGATTGGATGATCTGATTGAAATTGATATTTGCAGAAATGTTTCTCTATTCTCTAATAAACTTTAGTTCGTGCAAATAAAATTGGTTTACATGATCAAATCATGTTCGTTTCCCAGTCATTTTACATTCCCGAATCTTTCATATCAATTTTTGTATTCTTTCTCAGCCGACTTTTTGCTTTCCTTTATTATATGATTGACAGCCTCCTGTATATCTCCATATCGTCGCCATAAATTATTTCGTCTATCCTGGACTTAATGTAATTGATCTGTATGACATAAACTTCGGCCACCATCAGTAAGAATTCAGTTTTCTCTTCACAACGGTTATCATATCAT